CCTTGTTGTGTTAAATCTTAATTAACTGAGTTGCACAAAACTACCTTAACACAATTAGAGAATGGTCTCTGTGTGCAATACTATTGATTCACATGATTTCAAAATAAATATACTGTACCCTTCACTATCACTAAGGACAGTCAGTCAGGTATATTGAATTTCAAACAAATACAGGATTCAAAGTCATTTTCAAAACAGCTTAGGGATAAGTTGTTTTTTCAGTAACTGAAAAGAATGGCAGTGGTACTAATGTCTAATTGTACAAATTGTTGGCTAGCTAGAAGTTGAGAGTAGTTTCTAGCACAAACATTATTATGTACTGTATATTTAGAAATGGTGAAGGGCTGGCAGGAAATCATTATCTCCATTACTGAGCTCCACATACTGTAGAAGGTTATGTTCAACATTGTGAGAAAAGGAAAGAGGAAAAGGATATGTTAAACAATGTTTTGAGTCAATTATAATGTTTCCTCAAAACCGTGAAAATGTTTATGTGAGTTTAAGTACTTTTTTCCATGGTGTTATTTGCTTGTCTTCAACATGCTTTTCTTTATACCTTATTAATACAAAGCCCTAGTCTGGGACTTTCAGTGTAATAAATATAGGAACAGCTAAAAGTAAAAAAGAGAGAACAGCTCATCTTGTACTGAAAAGAGTGTAATTTTCTTGATGAAAAATCACATTGATGTAACTAATCAGACTAAGTTAGTGAGTGAGAGGGTGTAGAATTCCTCAGCTATGGTGCTAATTTTAATACAGGTGTCACATTGTTATCCAGATTCTTTAATGTAATTGAAGTGATTAAAGGCCAGCTAGTGAAAGGTTCAGGTGTGGGCAGGGAACAAAACCTTGGTGTTTATAACATTTACGCATCAGATGATGGGGGAGAGGGTGGCATTCTTTCAAGGCTACAGTAGCGTACAGATCCCACGTCAGGCTGAAGAGAGTGTCACTGGCTGGGAATTTAAGCTGTAGAGAAAAAAGGAGCTGCTCACTATTGCAACAGTACATGAGCTTATGGGTGTCTGGCAGAATCTCCAGCTCAGTGCCTGATAGAACACATAGATAGGCTAGAGATTCTACCAGTCTGGTATTTTTGGTCTGATTTGGATAGAATTTATTTTTGTACACATGAACTAAGTGAAGACACACGGATGACTCATTCAGGCTGTACGAAGGCTGTCCAGTACGCCACATGTTAATTTGGGGGTTTGATTAGATTGTATTCTGTGACAATTCACCAATAGTACAAGGCAGGCCTGAGCACCCGGATAGGTCAGTGGAGTTAAGCCTGGAATGGAAAACTGGTGCTGACCATCCATACCCTCATACCCTCTTTCCATGATATAATTAGGTTGAGACTTCTGAAGTTTCCCATATGAAAAAACCTCATCTAGAAGTTGAATGGCAGATCCAGTTAGATCGTATCAGGAGTAGGATTACATGCAACTTTCAGCCCATACCAAATAACAAACTAAAAGATTAATTGCACCCATGTGAAAAATGTGGGTTCCGATCCCTTAACCAATATTTACCTCATCACCTGTTGTGTGGCTATTTACACTATTTACAATTATTAGATGAGCAGCGCAGAGGCACAGTGGTTCAGTTCCTGAGGTGCAGTCTGCGTGGAGTTTATCTAGTTTCCCCTTGTTCACGTAGGTGCCCTTCGGGTGCTCCAGTTTCCTCCCACAGTCCAAAGATAGGCTGGTAGGTAAACTGGCTTCTCTCAGTCTGTGTTTGATAGTTGTTCTTCTTCTAAGTATACCCATTTATCAGTTCTATCTACAGTTTGAACTAACATGAAAAATGTGGATTTCACTGTAGCAAGATGAACTGACTGGTATGAAGATTCAAAATGACATTGCCAAAGATATTGATGGGCAATGTGAAGAATCCGTTTTCATCAGCGGTTTCAAATCTGCTTGCAAGAAAAACATGTTAGATAAGTTCAGGGGGCTTTGATTGACTACCATTCTAATAGCTTACCCGAACCACATCAGTGTGAAAACAATAATGACTTTGAAATAAAAATGCAATCAATGCTAAAGACTACACAGAGCACTGAAGCAGATTTCTCCCACTAGTTGCTCAATGGACTTTTTAAATATTTATTTTAATGAGAAGAGAAGTCTCTACTGTATCGTATTAAAAGCTAAATTTATGTCAGCTAACTTATTCTGTTGTTAATTTTATTTTTTATTTTGCTATTTCTATTGTTTCCCTGGAGCATTTTGAGTTTTGCTCCAAATTAAACTTTTTTACCTTTAATACAATAATCATACTGAATTTAGATACTAAAAACATTTAAGATAGTACTACTCTGAGTCTTCTAGTGGTAAGTTTAACATCAGTCAGGAAACGTAAATTGAATACAATGTTTAATTGACATATATATTTATTTTGCAGAAGCATGACTTTCCTTCTCCTGTGGTTATTAAATATACATTCATCCTTCATCACAAGCAAGTACTGTGCAGTAGTGGTCAGGATTATGAACTGGAAGATTTGGGGGTTCAAGCCAAAAGATACTGTTGTTGTACAATTCAGGAACGTACTGCATACAAATTACTCCAGGAAAAGCCCTGCTTTATAAATCGGTACTTTCCTGTGCATCATTGGGAATAGGAATTTGTTGCCGATAATATAATATATATAATATATAAATATTTACCTGACCAGAAGCAGAGGCAGCCCATCATCCTTCATTCTTCAACCTTCTTTGTATGGAGCCAAAGAAGCTGGAGTAAGCAGAAGAGGAGAACATAAATTCAAAAGCATAACCAGACTAATTCATATTAGTCAAGGTGGGTATTTTTAAAACCACTTACCATTCATTACAATACTTTATTTATTAGCAAATGGGTGCTAGTTACAAGTTGAAGTGAAATGATGCTGGACTAATGTACTGTAAATGTGGTGCAATGTACTGTATATGGGTGGCACAGTGGTGCAGTAGTTAGCATTTCTGCCTTGCAGCACTAGGGCCCTGGGTTCAGTGAGATGACATCTCCCCAGGTTTGTGTGGGTTTCCTCCAGATTCTCTGGTTTTCTCTCACAGTAAAAAGACATACAGTACTGGTAGGTTAATTAGCTTCTGAGCAATTTGGCCCTGGTGTGAGTGTATACATTTTTGTGTTTATGTCTGTGTGTCTGCCCTTCAAGGGAAAGGTGCCTCATCCAGGGTGTATCCTGTTGCTCCCATTGCTTGCTGGGATGGGTTCCTGCTCGACTGTGATCCCAAATTGGGTGAAGTGGTTAGAAAATGGATGGATGTAATGTACTGTATATTATTTACTGTTACAGGTACAAAGTTTCTCTGCCTGAACCTTTTCTTTGCATGGTATCTTAAGTATTGGCTCAACTGCACTTATTTAAACAAATTTTTCAAATAATTATATCAATTAACCAATTAAAGACTCCGGTGCTATTAGAGCCATGAAGCCCGTGCCCTCTGAAAGTGAGCGAGACAGACTCGGTAGCTTACCTGTTATATTTATCAACTATTGCAGAAAAAGAAGTCTGAAAACACTTGATTACCAGGAATCAAACAGGAGAAGAACTTTATGTCATACAAAGCTGTGAGGTCCATTTGTAAAACAAATGTGTTTAGGTACTAACACACTGAATCAAATTTAACAGTATGTAGCTCCATATTTTCTCTTTTGATTTTCATATAAATTTGGATTGGTTATCTCGGAAAACAGGAGCATAAGACGAAAACAGAGAATACGTGGAACTATAAAATGTAGATTACAAAAATGTGATAAAAATAACTTCCATGATTAAGGACACAATAAATTATAAGAGCAGGACTTGAGAACAGGATGTTTTTTTATTCTAAAGAAACATTGTTTTTAAGCATAATTGTCAAGCAGTTCATTCAAACGTTAACTTCATTCAAAAGTTAATTATATGTAAATTAAGTGCACTTTCCTTCTTTTTACTTTGCTGGGCTTCATGTAGGACATCATTTTCTCTAATTACATAAATAAGAAGATCCACATAGTACAGCTGAAAATTAGGTTTCCTGGTTAAAACATCACATTCACCTAATAGGGCTGCTATCTAATCATTTTCAAACCATCGCAGGTGTCTGGGTATATAAACAATTAGAAGTTGAATGAACACGTAAATGAGATTTAAATTGAATTAATGACCTCTTAATGAGTGAGCTTGTATCTCTCAATTGCAAAATTCTTTTAACAGAAAATGAGAAGCTTGAGCATGTTGCAGATTACAATGGAGACTGTTTATAAAAGAACAGAATCTGTTAATATACTGAAGGCTTTTTGATCTCTTCACTGAAAATACCTCCCAATTAACAGGTAATATTTAAGGTTCTATACTTGCTGATTATATTTAAAGACCACATTTACTAAATTGCTGTACCTCACATTTTCAATCTTTTTTTATCTTTTATAAGTTTTAGAACATATTTTCATTGTGCATATAATATATCAATACTTAACAAATGATCGTGTTATATTACAACATCGTACAAAAACAATATTTTAAAGAAAATGCCATCTACATCAGGATATCAACACTTTTAATAAAATATTTTCAATAAATTAATACTTTCAGTAAATCATTCAATTGCAAAATAGTTACTTTATATTAACGATCTGTAACTCCAAGAGCAGAGTTGTTAAAATATTACCTCTTTTTGTATTGAGTACCAGAATAGAAATGAGTGCCCAAAAATCATTTGGTGTGACACTAACAAGTTGAAGCTACTTAGAACTTCTGATCAATATACGTTTACTCATAAATGTGCATCTCATAAATTATATAAATAGATCGATCCTCAGAATGCAAGAGATGGTTTGTGTTTCACTGCCAGTTTGAAAAAGACATATCCATTATTATCCATTAAGTTGAATTGTATTACAGGAATTACAACTAGATGTTGCTTTTCCAATGACTGGAATGACATCAGAGAGTTTGATCATGTGTATTCTAATAAAACATACATGTTAAAAATGAAACAACAGTTCTCATTTGGTGCATGAGGGCTTTATTTACCTGTCAGATATACATTTTCTTTTGATTTGGTGTATTCATATCTGGTCTACATTTCCCAAATATCATAAAAAATAAATTAAGTGCCGGCAGTGATAAAGACTGATAAAGACAACTCTGTAAACAAATCACATTCCCTTTTGTGACAACATTTGTGAGTTCACCTTTGTAAACAGGAATTTGGCAAATTAAGAGTTTTGTTTATTTCAAATTAAGTGCTTAATCCACAGCATAATATAACGCCAACATGCACATTCTTCATTATTATATTATTTTTAAGAAGCACAATCCATTCTTGTATGGCTATAAAAATGAGTCAAAATATCTTTGAAAAGTAGTTCAGTTTTTGTTGAAGAAAATATCTTGATCTTTCTCTATTATGATGATTTCCAAATCACATGTAGGATAGGAAAAGGGTCTTTTTAAAGCATAGCTCAGACACTGTTCATGAAATCAAAGATCGTCATGGTAACTATAGAAATTTACAAGGCTATCCAGTCTGATAAAGGCTTCTTATGGGGATTTTTCCATTTTAATGAAAAAAAAAAGTCTAATTCCTAATTAATGTTGGCCTACATGTAGTGCATATCTGTAACATACAGAAATCTGTAACACAAACATACAGGTGAAAGAAAAAAATGTAAAAAGATTAGGTAACAGAAACATTCCCAGCTTCTGCTACTTTCCTGTGATATTTTACATTGAAGAAACTGTAGCTCCCATTTTTACACAGTGCCATTAGTCCTTCACATCTTCTGTTCTTTTTTCTTCATAATATACAGTACAAGTGGATCCATTGAAAAGCAGTGTTAAAACTGTACTTAAAGGTGTAGCTCAAGGAATGATGTGGATCAACATTGTATTTATCATGCACTGTACATCATGGACACTGTTTTCAGGGGCAAATGTGCCTTCAGTTTTAGTGTGGGTTTGGTCATAGAAATAGCATTATTCATGTAACGCTCTGCAATTTTTCTTGATAGAGAAAGATTGGGACAGACAGGGGTGGGAGTTAGAATCTGAATTTCTTGCATCAGACTTCAATGATGTTGATTGATGGTGCTGTTTTCTGGAACTGCAAGAAAGAAAAATAAATGTGACAAAAAAGTCCCAATTCACCCAGATTTCACTGCAAATAAAACACGATCGTTTCCTTGCCTATCCTGGGGAGCAACTGTCATTGTAACAGCTAGATAGAAAAAATAAGAATGTTAGTCACGTAGCAATATCTTTGCAACTATCCCACAACAAAGATGCAAGAAGCACCTACTTTATAGGTAATAAAACTGTCCTGATGTTTATACACTGTTTTAAAGAAGCACTTGAAAAGTAATTGATCTCTATGTGCAATGGTTTGCCTAGGTAGCTTACGTCCCTCTGGACATCATTACTGTCTATGTCAGTAGGTCTTACTTTAAAGAAAGTTCCTTATTCTTTTTATTACTGTCTCTTGGTCTTTTTCATCCTGTTAAGAGAAGTATTGTATTAGGAAGCCCATCTTAAATATTGTAGGCTACATGATATATCTCTTCCAGAGTATACTACATTTTATAGGTTTGTTTAGCAGTGGGATAATTATTTTTCACATAATCTTAAACATCACCATGCTATCACGTACTGTACTATATGTATTTTACCATTACATTATAATATCAAAACAGTTACTACAGTTTTACTAAAACAAGATGGGTTTGTCCATCAGAGATGATTTAATTAATCAAATTTAAATGGGTCAGTCCCTTCATTAAAAATAAAAACAAAAATGTTTGTTGTATATTTCTAACTTTCAGGAAATAGGGAAGTAGCAGGATTGAACATTTTCTGTTAATGTAAGGCAAACTACTTTATGTGCCATTTAAAAAATACAAATCCTTAAAATGTATGGGCCTGGTGATCTAATTTTATCATAGAGCATCTGCATACTTTTAGTACTAATGGTAATATACAAATTAAATGTTGTAATTGTGCATTGTAATGCCCTGTATTTGGCAGCTTTTCCAAAAAATTTAAATTACAGACATCTGTCAGACTGCTTAGAATAAAATAAACAAAGATTTACATAAACCCAACATTCACCATTACTCTGTCTGACAATATTTTCTGTAATCTGTTATGTTAGGATATCAAAGTACTGTTTTTTTTACATACTGTTCATCTAATACACCATCGGTCTAAATTTCCTTCCACTAGTAGCTGAACCAGCCCTGCTACTGCTGAATAATAGTATTAAACAGGTATGCAGTTTGAAAGGTATATACTGTAACAATCTTAATGCAGAGTCCTTAAACAATGAACAAAGAAGCATAATAATAAATCCAAACGAGTATGTTTGGAAAAAGGAGCAATTCCTATTTGCCAGGGATGAAAAAAAATAATACAGAAGGCAGGAGACTTTTATTAAAAAAAAACATCAGACCATCCTCAACCTTGGAGAGTACTGTATGATTCAGCCCTGATTAAATTAATGAGCAGAAATAAAGACTTACAGCAGTGCAGAAATGAATGACCTGATTGTAGGTTTACTTGACCTACTGTATAAACCTAAGAATCATTACCTCAGTGCTCCCTTGACCCAGTTCCACTATTAACTGCTACCATCTATCAAAGCAGCATGCAAAAACAATAAAAGAAATCATAGAGGAAACCAAAGAAATGAATCACAACAAAAACCTCTTAGAAAAATTTTAATACACTCAATTTTATCCATCTAGAAATGTAATGTTTAATAGAATTTACTCTGAAAGTAGATTGCTTGGAAACTCATGTATTTCTGTTTATGTGCATGAATAAAATCTCTACAGAAACATGATGAAGGAATGTGTTATTTTTCTTCTGCTTATTTTATCCCTCCTTACTACAGTATATTAAGAAAAACGTACATCGATTATATCTTACTCTTTGATAAGATATCTTTGAAACAAAGAAATACTCCTTTAACTAAATTTTTGTCAGACATCTCAACATACTGTATATTTTAATAACATAAGAGGTGAAATGGAAGTACAATCATATAACTTAGAAGGTAATTTAAAATAAAGACATTTGTCTTGGTTAACATAATTCATGAAAATACTATATGCCCATGGGGCGGAGCAGTGGCTCTGTGGCTAGGGATCTGCACCTGTGACTGGAAGGTTGCCAGTTCAAATCCCACGGCCAACAGAGGAATCCTACTCCATTGGGCCCCTGAGCAAGGCCCTTAACCCCAACTGCTCCAGGGGCACCATACAATGGCAGACCCTGCGCTCTGACCCCAAGCTTCTCTCCCTGTCTCTGTGTCTGTCTCCATTGAGAAAAGCTGGGGTATGCAAAAAGACACATTCCTAATGCAAGAAATTGTATAGGGCTAATAAAGAAACATTATTATTAATAGCTAAAAACATGACCTTACAATTCACTAATAACACTTCTAATTTAATTTTAGTTAAAATAAATAAAATAGGAAATAAATTCCTATTCTGGTTGCCCAGCAAAAGAATAAAAATATAGAGAGCTGCAATTATTAGCAACAGGTGGAATTGAATTCGTCATGCTCCATCCAGTTAAGTAAGGTGCTTAAGAATATTTATGAATATAAGATAACACCACCACAGTATGTTTGTGTATTACTATTTAAGTAGATTGGGTTGCATTTTGGTTAGTCCTGCAAATAAAATTCTGTATATAATATGGATCACTTAGCTTGTTGTGGTATTGCTTAGTACTAATGTGATGTTCACAGCTGGTGAACCATTTCAGGTGGTTGTGAACTGGTTTTTAAACTGACAACCTATATTTACAACAGGCTTTCTGAACCGGAACTGAAGGATCTCACAATGATGTAAATCACAGCTCAGCATTACAGTTTAACAATTAATATTCTAAACACATAGATCGCATCCAAGATTTTATGCACTATATATACTGCAGCTTGCTGATCTCCCTCCCCTTTAGGTGTGTCCTAGTCACTGGGTCATAGTCACCTTGCTGCGCAGGAGCCCCCCAGTAGGTCTCTCCGGCGTGCTGTGCTCTGAGGACGGCTTGGCCTTTTCCTTGTTGTTGTTGAAATCATTGTCTTTAATGATGTCATACTGTCTGCAGAACAGAGCGATCACAGCTGAAAGGAAATAAAGCCATTGTAAGGTACAGAATACGTGACCCAGATTGATACCTGGGATGCACAAAAGAACCCTAAGTATCAGGCCGAGCTTCCCAAAATTCTGCTGTTGGCTGTTAATTTGCTGGCTGTGGTGGTGGTCAATCTGCTGTATGTAAAAACAACCTACAGCAATTTCTGGAAAGACTCATGAAGCCTTTTATTATTGGATGGATAGGGTGCAAGACAGGACAGCCTAGACATGACATCAGTCCATTAAAGAGCACACCAGGACAATTTACAGACATCATTTAATGTAGACATGTTTGGGAAATGGGAAGAAACCAGAGCACTTTGCATAAACCTTTGTGAATATAGGAAGACTCCACATAGAAGGCATCCCTGGCTGCAATCAAACCCAGGACCCAAGAACTATGAGGCAGCTGTGCCTCTCCACCATACCACCACCACCATGCAACCTAACCTAGGTAGGATAATACGAAAACATAATATTAACTTTCATTCATATGCTGATGACACTCAAATTTACATTTCGTTTACACCAAATGACAACTTCTCTATTATCATTTTAGTTAACTGCATTAATGAAGTAAAGACTTGGATGTGTGAAAACTTTTTGTTACTCAACTCTAAAACTGAGGTTCTGTTGTTTGGAGGCAACAATACTGATAGGACTACTAAAACACCAGCACTTAACACAGAGGATTTAAAAATTTGCCTCAATGACACAGCACGTAACCTAGGTGTCATATTAGACACAAGGCTCTCATTTACAGTAACTCTCATGTTAAAACAGTATCTAAAACATGCTTCCTACAGTTAAGAAATATTGCAAAACTAAGGTGGCTTCTCTCCACTCAAACACAGAGAAATTAATACATGCTCTTGTATACAGCAGGTTAGACTACTGCAATGCCCTACTATCAGGGAGCACCCATCACTCTTTCAACACCTAACAGCGAATTCCCAATGCAGTAGCTAGAATCGTTACTCGGAGCAGAAGCACGATTATATAACCCCTATGCTTAGCTCTCTTCATTGGCTTCCTGTCAGGTACAGGGCAGACATCAAAATACTTCTACTTAATTATAAGGCTCTCAGAGGTCAGGCACCTGTCTATCTAATGGAACGTATTTATGTATCCAATCCAAGTCACCTGCTTAAATCACAGAATGCAGGTCTTCCTCATATTCCACGCATTAATAAAAAAAAAGGTGGTAAAGCCTTTAGTTAGAGGGCCCCTGGCTTACGGAACAGTCTCCCAGCCCATGTTCAAGATGCCTAGTCAGTCTCAGTATTCAAATCCAGACTGAAAACCTATTACTTTAGCCTACTCACACCTTACATCATAGCCTGCTGCAACCATGTCTGCTGGTGCTGCTGTACATGCCATTGTGTGTCTCTTTGTTGGCCCATCAGGTAGATACATCGGTTCTGACCAAACTATCCTATTCTCCTCCCCACATCTGGATGGTGTCCGGGCTGGGCACCATCTGAGTTGGATGCTGCATCACTGCCATGGATCCAAGAGGGGCATCGTGGATATACTGTAGCTATCATTTAGGAGGATTTTGCTTGTCTACTGAGATCTGCATGGAGTACTGCCATACAGAAGATGGATGGATTAATACCTTTATTCATTTTTTCCTTTTTTTAATTTTTAAATCTCTTTTTAATCTCTTTTTTATTTTTTTTTAATAGTTGACCTTGGACCCCTAGAGGTTTTTTTTCTCCTTACTAAGTTTTTGGTTCTTCTCCTCCATTGTCTTCTGGTCTTTTCTGTTCTGTATTCACAACATGTATGGTCACATGTATGGCTCTGTTAAGCGCCTTGGGGCAACCTTGTTGTTAAAGGTGCTATATAAAAATACATTGAATTGAATTGAATTGATGTAGATCACCTCATTTAATGTGCATTAAGAACCTGCTGTATATTATGTTTATTTTTGTCTGAAAACATGTACAAATGCTCGCATAGACATACTTTTTACATGTTCTTGTTTCTATTATTCCTCTTGGCCACAGATATTTTTGTTCTATATCGTTTTGGATGGGTGGCATGGTCGTGTAGTGGTTAGCATTACCGCCTTGCAGCACTAGGGCCCTGGGTTCAGTTCTGTACTTGGGGTGCTTTATGTGTGCAGTTTGTATGTTCATTCTGTGTTCATGAAGGTTTTTGCCAGATGTTCTGGTTTTCTCCCATGGTCCAAAGACATATAGTACAAGTACAGTAGGTTAATTAGCTTCTGGGAAAAATTGGCTCTGGTGCAAGGTTGGATGTCTGTATTTGTGTGTGCCTAGTGAAGAACTGGTGTCCCGTCCAGGGTGTATCCCACCTTGTGCCTGCTGCTTGCCAGGATAGGCTGTGGCTCCCCCGTGACCCTGTATCAGTTAGAAAAAAGGATGGATGGATGTGCTTGCGTTCCATGGGTCTTTGTTGTGCGCATCATAATATCACGAATCTCCCTCACGCAGGCAAGTGCTTTCACATTCCCACGAGCTCTCCCCGTACCAAACGTGCATGCGTCAATCAGTTCTCTATTTAAACCCTCATCAGTCCCCCTGTCATTGCTCACGATTGAGATTAACTCCCTGAGCTTACCTTCGATCTACTCCTTTGCCATACTACTGATTCTCCCCTGGACCTCGACCCCGCTTTTTCTGACTACCTCTTTGCCACTCGATTTTGTACTTTTGCCTCTAGAACGCACTCTTGGATCCTGACCCCTGCCCGTCTCCTCGATTACGCCTCCGCCTTCTGAATCCACTCCGACGCCTCTTCTACGCCTACCCGGACTCGGACCCCTGCCTGTTTACTCTGACTACGCCTACGTCTTGCACCAACCCTACCTAGGGCACCGCATTGGATCCCAATCCTCCGCAGTCAGCCCCAGCGTGACACATAAGCACAGAGAAAGGCATTAATATATAAATACTATTTGTCCATTCCAAGAGTAATGACGTAATTCAAAAGAAAACAGAACCTGTCTTATCTCTCTGAGTGAAACAAGGATCTTATTTCTTCCCAAACCATTACAGTCCAAAAAATGTCCTAAGTGTTAAGTTCAACCAGCTGGCTTTAATTTACTCTCTTTAATAAATTAACACCAGTTGGGTTTTTATACTTGCTGAAGATAGGAGGTTCATCTTCATCTAATTAATGTGATTCAATGACAGAGAGAATTACAGGAGATCTTTAATCAGGCAGGTAGACAGGGAACGGAGAGACAATCCTCTCCATTTAAAAAGGGGCAGGTCTGTGCAGAGAGTCACTGTCACAACAACCCTGTCTGTGTTAATGAAGTCTGACGGGAGGTACAGGTTCTGTTCAGCGGCCCTATCAGACAGAAGGCCACAAGACTGCGACAGCTCTCGCCTGTTATTCATTTGAATGAAATGGCTATAATGACACAAAGAGGCAGAATCTTCTTGTTGGAGGTTCTCTGAGCTCATTAAATACAGAAAGTACTTTGAAAAAAAACTTAACTTGTGAGGTCTTCTAGGGATGCATTACTTGTCACTATAAATCCAAATTAATTTGTATTATAAATAATTAGTTGACTACTTCATTTAATTTTTGGCATCAAGTCTGAATATCATTAGTAGCATTCCTATTTGCGTGATACAGAAGTTCAAATTAACTCTGAAGTTGAGTACATTGTACTAATGAAAGAGATCTACATCTAACAGAAAAGTAATGGATTTGTGCTTTTTGTCACAATAGCTCAAAAATGAAATTATAATGGAAGAAAGATGTGATTTTATTTAAAAAAAATAGAAGACATAAAAACAGTGACCTTAAATTAACCATTTCTCTCCCCAGGAAAACAAAGTGACTGTTACTACATAATTAGTATTGATTCCACAAACCATAAGTACTAAATTAGCATTTTAAAGCGATCTTGACACAGAACTCCCTTGATACTTCATGAAGCTCTGTCTCCTGAAAATTATATATTTTCACCTTTTTCACTTTCATTTTTGTAGCCAAATAGATTCAATTACCATGCTTTCATTTTGTGTGCTCCAATTTCCTATATTCCCTCATGTACAGAATACACATCAGTTAATTTAATTCCACCACTTTTGTCTTACTTATATTCTTCATTGAAATAATGATTGCCAGTTGCTAAAAGATTAACAAAAGATTAACTACTTTGTTCTGAATAAGACTTGCCATTTGTGGTTTTGGTGTGCTTGTCTTTCAAAAGATTTAATCGGTGAATTACCAGAAAAGATGAGTAAATAAGACTCACAAAAAATATACTGTACAATGGCATGCACCTATTTTAAAAAAAATGTTACAGTTAGAATTACATCATGGAGCAAAACAAAAATATGGGAAAAATCAAACTTTTAGGTTGCTCACTTCTGCTTGCCTCTGTACAGATGGGTTGCTATTTACTCCAAGCAGGCTAGTTATCTCAATAAAGTTCACTATGTGAACTGCGCGTCTTGTCTTTCTGAGTTATAGTTTTACTGCTGAAATTGTAATAGTAATATTCAAACAGAAGCAGGTGACTTACAATTCAATTTATCCCTAAATAATGTACACAAAAATATGAGAAATGATCTGATAAGGTCAAGTTAAGGCTCTTACATGTCCAATGTTCCAACAAGGGTGTCTGGTACACATGGAGCATGTGATCAGGGGCTTCTGAAAGGGTTTTCGTTACTTGGTACAGCAATTCAATGGGTCAAAGGTTTACTGCTTAACAATTTCGCTTTGTTGTTCTGAATAAACCTAATGTAATAGAGAAGTGGTCTTTGCAAAAGGAGCTTGTAAAGAGCCATACAGTATGTAATGTTAATACTGTAGGTTGAGTGGGATTATTAGGGAGATCGGGGCCAATGGGTACACATGGGCGAACTGTACACATTGATCTCTTTATAAACACACAGATTAATTCAGTGAGAGGGCATCAGAGTAACATTGGAAAGGAGAAAGAAAGAACACCAAACTCAAGGTGTCAGAGAAGAGGAAAAGAGAACACAAAGAGAACACACAATGGATACATGTGCTGTGGCAGCCCGGTTCAAAATCCCACTGAGGAGCTGTCTCTTGGTTTTATGATCAGATTGGTTGGATTAGATAAAGACCCAAAGAGCGATCTCCAAGTAAAGAGAAGTCTAGCAGGGAAAGAGCAAAGGTTAGCTTTTATGGATTAGGAGCTTCAGTGTGATTTAAGGGAATAGGAAGGCAGCTCTCGACTCAGCTGTCTTAACACTGTCGTGTTAGGCAATTAGGTTCAAGTCAGCAGTTGAGACTTGAATTGGCTAAAGTAGTAGCAGACCTGTCACCAGTAAGGTAATGGTTATGATAGAGAGGTCCTGGCCAAACAGGATCAAGATCAAGATTGCATTTACACTGTTAGTACTGTTAGAGGAATGAGAGGGAGTAGCAGTCTCTACCCTGGAAGGGGACTTGGTTATCTATGTTCCAATGGTTACAGTTCCCAGAAAAGATTTGGGTTTTCTCCATGAGGGGGATGATTAATCAATTAGTAATGTTTCCAGACCCAAGTAGGGTTTGAGTTTTCCAACTCAACTAATACTGGACAGGATTATAAATCAGTGGAGAGATTCTCTCTGAATGGACTGAGGCGGAAAAAAGGTGTGCCAATATTTTGATAGTTCTGGTTGCAATCACAGGAGACAGAAATCCAAGGACTCTTTTTGTTCTGAGAAAACTCTAGATAATCACTAGTGGCTGCCACTAACCTACACACTGCTGAAACTTCCATTCTTTCTGAAACACCTAAGATGCTGTGACAGCCTTCATGCACACATTATGTGTTTTTTCTATACTGAGAAAGACTTTTCATGAATATATTGTCAAAAAACAAAATAGTGATTGTGAATCATGACATGTAAACAAATCAAATTACTATGATCCTTTTCAATGTTCAACAGAACACCCACACAGACTTCATTGTGAAGCAGAATTAAAGTCTATTTAGACATTCGATTTTGAATTCTAAAATGGGTCACAGCAGCATAATCATAATTTAAACCAAATTTTGTATTAGAACATAATAATAAAAAATGAGAATAGGTTAATCTGTCCATCTGGCTCTTTTCTCAGTTTAGTAGTAAAACTTAAATAACATGCAGCCAAACTGCTAATCACTGGGGCATCAACAGCTGATTGGAAAAAGAGCTAAATCATCTTTTAGTTACAGTACCTTTGTTCTAGACTAGTGAGATCTAGTTTCCTTTCCATACCTGTCTGTATGCAACAATCCTCTGAAACCAGAATTATGCACACGTTCTAAGACTATAATGTCCTTTTCTGTGGTTATGTTGACCACATTTAACATAATAACCTATAGTACGTGAGGTATTAGTGGTGCACTATAAATGTTAAGCTTCCCTGGATTTAAACTCCACACCTTATGCGAGATTGTATGCCGCCATCATTCTATTTGCTTTGCCATATTCTCTTTGTAAGGACATAGCAGAGTCTACATAAACTCAGATCTCTTTTTATGTGTGGTTTCCTGTAGTTCTTAATTTCAAACATTATGTATACTATCATTAACCATATGTCCACCAAATTGAAAACCTGGTGTGTTGAAAAGTGTTTCTGATTCCCTTCCCGTTATTTATATTTGCCACTGCTTCTTGTTCTTATCATTTGCAAATTTACAGCAGGTAGCTTTCTAGCTCACAATCTAAATCTACTAGATCACTAGAACGCTATGACCTATGGCCCCGTGGCAGATATTTATCTCTGCCCAATTAGTTGTTTTGCCGCTTAAGACAATGCATTGTCACATGTTTAACCAGTCCCCAAAGAGCAGACATTAGGTTGGATTCCTACACATTTTTAATTGAGAATCAGTGTTTAGTGAGGGACCTTAACAATTGCTTCCTGGAAGCCTAAGCATACTTTACTATGTCACATACTGTACTCCTATATACTATACTCATTTATTCCTTAAAGAGTTTTACCGAGTTGACTAAATAGGGGCTGCCCTTTACTAAATCCATGTTGGCTGACTCCTAAATGTCATTCCTTGCTAAGTATTCTACTAATTTAGACGGACATTAAATCTGACTGACATTTTCAAAACTTTACCTGTAGCAGAAGTGAAAGTGGGTACTGTTCCTATCCCATACCATAAAGTAGAAATATACTACCAAGGGGCCTATGAATAAGGGGTCTATGAATATATGATTGTAATGCAACGGGGTTCAGGTGGGCGCCCTTAGGACTACATGGTGTTTTTGAACATATGTTCGGATGGAGGTCAGATTTTAGTTTTGCAATTCCGCCTCCCTGCGTCTGCTGAACATGACTCTATGCACATCTTTCCAAGCAGAAGTGGGTTGTGACAGAACTCTTCGCCAACCAGCATTGTCATAACTTTAGCCAGGTGAGTTAAAGTCAGACTATTCAGCTTGTTTCAACATTTTTAGATTTTGACTGAACAATTAAAATGCTCTTTGGCAACACAGTAATTTGAACATAGGACATAATACACATTTAAAAATAATATAAAACTGCATAAATATAATGTAAGACATAACAGACAATTCTGTGTTGGAGTGTAATTTGGTGTTGTTCCTTTTTTCTTTAGAAGTTTTGTTTATAAGTTGCTTTTAACTACTACTTCCAGGCTGAAATACTCACCTGCCCACATGATGAGAACCACAGCTATAATGATCAGCTCCCCAGTTTGAAGATGTCGCGATTTATCCAGTCCCTGCACTGTCGGGTCATCTATAGATACAGCCAAGAAAAGTGTGTTAATTATACCCCTACAGTATACTCACTGCTTCCTTTTTTCTCCTTCTGTCCTGTAATTTTACTTGTGAGGTTTTGGTTGTTGACTACAATAGTACTGTATGTTCCCAGGTAAATGTGAGCAAAATTAAAATATTCCTGCGCTAACTGTAATCATATCAACTGTAATCATAACTCATAACCAGTGAATTTAAGTGAAACACTGCTTGATGGAGCTTAATTATTCTGACTGATTTTATATTTGACACAAAAAAGTAGACGGAACAGTTCTCATATACAGTCGACTCACTTCTTAAGTGGGTAAGGGATTTTGAGTAGTCATTAAAGCCAGATTTGCATATAGTCACATTTGAAAATCCTTTTAAAAACCCCTACTTACAGTACCTCTTATGGTAATTCAAGATATTAAACATAAGTATAAAAACAGTAAATTAAACTAAAATAAAGTACTAAGATGGCAGTATAGGCTCACTAACTAGCTCTAGGACCGTAACAATTGCTTCCTGGAATTTGTAAGTGGCTTGACACATTTTTCAGAGAATAAGGCATTTTTTCAAAGTTTTATTTTCCAGAGCAGACCATGAAAAGCTGCGGCTGCACACGTTATGAGTCGACTGTACTATGAGTTATTACCGGAAGAAGTTAAAGTGTTATGTACAGCTTCATAAAAGTGAAGGAAGAGGCAGTATCCCTCCTTAGACTTGGGGTGCTTGTATATGCCTTAATCATTAGAAACTGTGATCCAGATCACTGTAAAGCAAAGATAATGGTACAGTACAGCATATTGATACAAGGTAGGAAAAGGAGATTTTAAAGTTAATAGTTAAAACTGTAGTGATATAGTGCATATCCTTTCATCAATCCATTTTCTAACCACTTCATCCAATTCAGGTTGTGGGGAAGCCAGAAAGCCAGAGTTTTTATATCACTAACAGTAAATTATTGATGCAAAGATATAGTATCTTCAAAGACAGCGTATCAGATCATGAGGCTGCTTCATGGGGATTGTATTTATTTCTATTTCACTAGATGATATCTTGATTCTCACGCAATGCAGAAAATGAATGTTATTTTGCTTTATCAATCGGCCCTTTTAATTCATTATTCTTCACAGCTTTCAATTAATCTGTAAGCAAAACAACATGAATGATATTGGTGTTAATTGTTTTGGCATATTACATTTGCCTCTGACCTGTAACAAAAGCATTCTACAGTATTCTTTTACTGAGGCTCTGGAAGAACATGCTGCCACGGTGTGGCTTTAATATATTTTTAGGTTTCTTTCAATTGATCTACAGTAAGTGTAAATGCTCACATAGGTCTTAATCTAACCCGTGCATATCCTACATTAATTGCTAACCCTTGTTTTACCCATTGTGGAATAAAACCTAAACCCAGATCTAATCCTTTAGCCTTTAAACTCTATAACATCGGTTCCCACCTCCAGTCCTGGAGGAACTCTTTGTCAGTTGGTTTGTGTTCCAGCCAGATTGCTGATCACAGGTTAATTTGTTTCTCTTTTCATTTTTGGGTATATTTGTACATTTCAACTTTTAACTTGCAATTTATAATTGCTATTAACCCTGCACCAATTTCTGAGTTTCAGACCAACCCTCATTTTGGCTTGCTGCCTGCAAAGTAACCAACTGGACCTCTGCTGAAGGAAAACTTTTCATCATAAATTGATCAACTAATGAGAGCTGTCTAGTCAGAAGTAACAGCTGGGATGTTGAGGAGAGACTGCTGACAGTGCTGGAAAAAATACCCTTGAAGAGGGGTACATTTGACACTCTGGATAACAGCCCAGGAATTGGCCCCTACAGTGCAAAACAACAATGTTCATAATAACAGGGGTTATTGTTAAATATTAATTAAAATGATATAAAATAATATTAATATGATAAACCAATTGTAAGGAATTAGGCTGTAACAAGGAAGAAACACATTCTTCTAAGAAAAAATTATAATCAAGATATTCGAATGTTTTACCACATTCATGAAGACTAAAATATGGTATTCATGCTGTATGTTGCAATTAATTTCTCCAGGGAAAATGATAGTAATTTCTCCAGAAATAATATTCTGTGCTGTTCAGTTATGCAATGCTTTTTTTAAATAATTATAGTATACTGGGTGTGAACTACTCATTTTATGTAAAGATAATGTTTCTCAATATGGAACTTACTCTTGAACAGGACAAAGTTTTGAAATGACAATAAAGAGGAACAAGTAGATAAATCTCTGTCGCAGGTATTTGTAAACCTAATATCTCTGTTACTGTTTCTAAACTGATCCTGATATTGTAGTATTGAATTCAAAACAACACTGGCAAACGTTTCTTGGATTTTATATAGACTGAGGGATTCCAAATCTCTTTACATAGTTTAATGCATTGTTCACTGAAGTGCAACATTCACTATGATCCCCGGTATACCAATATTATAACACCTGATATAATTGTCAGGGATCTGTCAGGTAGTTCTCCGAGGATCCTGTGCATAGCCGTGGGCTTTGCGGGATGCAGAGGCAAACAATCCAAAATCGTTATCCAAAAGGCGAGATCAAAAAGGGAAAAGTCAAATCCAAAAACCGAGAAAGCCAACAAGAAAATAACACACGCTGGAAAACTCTAAGAGGCTTTACAATAGTGAGCAGGGTTCGGTGTGTGTGGGAACTTTAAATAGTGAAGGGAGAGGAACGTGGTTGGATAATGGGCTCAGGAGTGAGAATCTGTGGAATCTGGTGCCTGTGAGAATGTGATGGGTTCAGTTACGAATGAGAGCATGAAACAGTGGGTTTGGGATTGTAATGGGGTTTGCGAGGGAGAGTGTGGGACGTGACAATTATTCCTTCAGCAGATGAAGGAAATAGTGAAAAATTATTTTAATCTATATCAATTAAATAATTCAATTTCAATTAAACAATACAGTCAATCAAAGACTCAAGCCTCCCTGCAAATTGCACTACATTAACAATGCAGTGAATGTGGCCCGATACATAGGCAATCAACTTGTCTTAGTTATCAGGGACATCCTTTATCTGCTATGATTCATGGGAAATAAGAAGTAAAAACATAAACAGAGCCAGCATCCTGAAATTTAGAAATGTAAGTTTACAATATTTTCAAACAAGAACATAGGTGAACCATAGTTACAGAAATTCTCTTATAAATAATAATTATCACATTTAGCTGAAAGCTGTGATCATCAATGATAGAAATTCCTTATTCATTTTCATGAACAAAAACATTTGTCTGAAAGGTCATATATGGTTTCTTACTTGTTTTCTAGAATGATAATGACCCTGTCTACAGTCTCTAAGGTGTTATAAGTTTTGGATTTCTCTTTAATGTCATGAGCATGGTTATTTCTGGCCAGAGCATTTATTAATTCCAATATGCATTACAGAATACCATGTCCCTGTCTGTACTAATTATGGCTGCCAAATCATGAGACTAAACATAATTATTCAGTTGTGGACTTGAATTGCCCATATTTTATGAGCCATAAACCTACAACATTGTACAACTGCTTTGCTGCAACATATGCAAAGATAACCATTATGGATAGCTGCAATTTTAATGGTATGTTGCTTAATGTAGCAGCTTGATTTAAATAATCTTGAGAAAAAAGAGCTATACTCAGTTTTTACTCACAGTTTCAAATAGACAAATGCATTCACAAAGTATGTGGTTTGAATGTTTTTTTTTTTAATTAATAGTCAAACCATGCAACCACCTGACATACTGTAACTTTCATTCTCACACAACCTCCCACAGTTCTTCACAATCCTGCCAAATTTTTTTGAGTTGTTGTCAGGGGTGATAGATTGTGTAGGCATTTCAAAAATGGGCAATAATAATCCAAACAATAATACAGTTCCTACAATGGCATTTTTATAGCTCTTTTCATCACAAAGTGCTTTACGGGTGGTCCACTTCATCTACACTGAAGGGCAGCACTCACCTTGGTGATGCACAGCAGCCCCAATATACAGCCAATCAGTTAGAAATATGAGAAACAACTTCTGCAGTTGAACTAAGCAGGACAATTAGGAAGGCAAAATTATTCAAGCCCAGAGTTGAATTTACCCAGGACACCCCTACTCACATAGACATTGTCATGTGATCTTTAATGTCTCAATGGTCAGGACCTCAGTTTAATCTCTAATCTGTAACTTTCTCTGTCCCCAGAAGGAAGAGTGGTGCCTTCCGGCCCACCAGCACCTTAGAACAGCAGCATATAACATATGAATTATTTTATAAATACAGCAGTTTAAATTCATAGATACAGTGATGTAAAAGATAGAAAAAAAATACAATACTGTACAATGCTTTCTGCATCAGCAGTGCACAAGACAATATTATTGTTCTACAGTAATCTTTAGGCAAAAGGATACAATATATATGTGTAAAAATATGTATGTAAAATTATGAAAACTATGTTATATTGCAGTGCTAATAAGAATCAATACTGTTCTAGTACAAGTTCAAGCCCACATTCTCTGCACAGGACACAGCCCACACTCACTCAGTGAAAGAGAGAAGATGTTGGCACCCCTTTAGTCCAGCCACCCACACTCACTGGGTTGACACCGATATGCACGAACACAGGCAGTACGAGAGCAGAACACCAAGACACATGACAAGCTGCTTATCGGCAACCAATTTAACAGCCTCTACAGCCTTTAGACTGTACCCAAGTCCTTGAGCTCCAGTTCCAATGCTTCTACCACATAACACCACACTGCAGCAGAAATAATCAAAATCTAGTGACCTTAGTGGTCTAGTGGTCATTTCCATATATATCTAAATGTGCAATTAAATTTCTATTTAAACATTAACTGCTTCAGAGAAAATGTTTTCCACATTTTTAAATTTATGCAAAGTTATTGCCTGAACATTTCTAAAGCACCCTAAATTCAAAAGATATAACACAATGTAGAAACGACATACTGTAAGTCAAGGTACAATTAGA